CACGACGAAGACGTCCCCCTTCAAACTCATGATGGGATACGAACCTCGCGGAATACCCACCGCGCACCCCGGATCAAACACGCCGCAAGCAGCTTATCGCCTCAAGGACTTGCAAAACATCCGTGAGGAAGCACATGCAGCAATGGAGATGGCCCAGAACGTCCTGGCCAAGAGAGTAAAAAGGAAGGGGGGTTCCTTCCGTAAAGGTCAGCTGGTATGGCTAGACTCCCAGAACTTGAAGCTGCCGTACCCATCCAGGAAACTAGCCCCGAGGCGAGAAGGGCCATTCAAAGTCCTAGACAAGATCGGAACAGTCACGTACAAGCTAGACCTCCCTAGCACCTGGCGAGTCCACCCCGTTTTCCATGAATGGCTTCTATCCCCTTATTCAGAAACAGAGATCCATGGTCCGAACTACACGAGGCCACCTCCTGACCTTATCGAGGGCGAAGATAACTACGAAGTCGAAGCCATCATCGGACACCGAGAGAACAAGAGGATGCGGCGCCGTGAATATCATGTCAGGTGGAAGGGTTATGTTACAATGGTCCATACTCCTATATCGATGCCTGACTCGTAGACAACGAGCGAGGGCTTATGGACAGTGCGTCGTCCCGAAGATCGAGCGAGGAGGTCGAGAATGACCACTACCCCAAGTGAAGAGGAGTAGAGACTTGAATGAATAACCAGGTCGAACTTAGGGTTCGACCGACTAATGGTACAACTATTTATACAAGTACCGGCTACGCACGGACCATTGTGTCTGTGTGGTCGTTGATACGACCTACGAAACCCTAACCCCTAACCTGGGTGCGACCTAAAGGGACTAGAGAGACGGATTATAGTCTAGTGAGAGGGGAGTTAGCAGCAAGGTGTCCCGCGGTTCGAGTGAACACGAGAAACGCCTTCGGAAAAGGCTACGAACAATGGGGAAGCTACGAGGTGGCTTCGACACGTCGTCGAAGCTCTTCGGAGGCTGTGGATGGTTAGTGGAGACGATCGAAGCTCGGGAGAGCTCTTCGAAGAATCGTAGAAGAAAGAGACAATTCGATAGGGGGGACTTAGCTAGGACGCGGTTCGCAGTTTCTTCGACAATAGTCGAAGTCGAAGGGTTCGTCGAGACGGTATCAACGAGTAAACGCAGTGGACGAGGTTTCGAGGTTACGCAGCGAGGGACGAAGTGACGCAGTTAGAGGCTTAGACGCAGGGCGAACGCGACTTATGAGCTCTGAACTCGAGGGGGGAACCGGATCTTGTGTTTTTTAAAGAGAAGTACGACAGATTTTATACTACACAGGACGCTACGACTATCGAAAGTGGCACACTGGTACAAGGGGCTTTGCATTGTTCCTCAAGAAGCTGCCTCACCGAGGGGCACGCATCAAGTCCATCGGTAGAGTGACGTCATGCCGAACGCGGAGATGAAGAGCAACATATGACCACTTCGGACCGGTATCCGTCGTCGAAGGCATGCCGTGAGGTTCGATACCTAATCGGGAAAGACCGGCTACGTCGGTGTGGCTTGGGGCGATGCGCGCGCTTGGCCGAGCGGCGTTAAGTGGCCCTATTGTTCGCCGAATGCGGAAGATGTTCCGAGATCTACGCGCGAGGCATCGGGACGACCGTGCCGAGCTTCGAGTAAGCGTCGCGCACCGTCGAAGGTGTCGAAGAGCGTCGAAGGCGAAATCGAACTGTTGGGAGACTGAGTCGAAGTGCCGGGCGGGATGCGAGTGCCGAAAAGAGGTGTATCGGGGCCCAGAGGGGTTTGGCGCCTATCATCTCCTCCCTATTGAAATTTGGACCGCCCTCGGTCCTCCACGTGATGCGAGAAGCGCGATGGTCGTGAACGGATCGAAGCGGCATGACAACCCGCGTCGGTTTCGAACGCCACGTGGCCGGCGCTAAACGCTGGTCGGAAAGGGGTTATAAGCAGGGTAGACTTAGCCTCATTTTCCCCATCCCATCGTTCCTTCGTCGCTACCTCGTCGCCCTCTCTCGCATACTCGCTGCTTCCACGATGTCTGCTCGTTCCGCCACCCCTGCCTCGACACCTTCGCTCGTCAACCGCCGCCTCGCCTCGCTGCTCGTGGTCCTCGAGGCTCCGCCGACCGCCGACGCCGCGCTCGACATGGTCGAAGAGTGGGCGCAGGATTTGTCGCCGCTCGTCGTAAGTCGCTTCGTAATCTGCATAACCCAACTAACCGTTTGTTTTCGAACAGCTCGCCTATCGCAAGGCCCTGGGGGCCATCCGCGATGAGGAGACGGAGCTGCGCGTCGCCGCCGCCGTCAAACAGCTCGCCGAGCGGGCGCCGGAGTCGTGGGTCGAGTGGGCGCGCGGGGACTGGCCCGAGCTCGCGACCGCCATCGATGCCGAGGTCGAACGACGCCTCGAAGAGCAGAAGCGCCTCGCCGAAGAGGAAGCACGACGCGTCGAAGAGGCCGCGAAGCGTGCGAAGGCCGCCGAGGAACGTCGCCTCGAAGACGAACGGCGTCGAAAGGACGAAGAGGACCGTCGGAAGCAGGCCGAAGACGAGCGTCGCGCACAAGAGGCCGCCGACGAAGAGTTGGCGAGGATCGCGGCCGCCGAAGGACTCCTTCCCGACCCTGCGCCTGCCGGTGTCGACAAGGGTAAAGGGCGCGCGAGAGTCGATGACGAGGTCACCGAGTTGTCGGACGACCCCTCGGTCGTAAGTATTTTCTTCTATCGTCGTTCGATGACTAACCTCTCTTTCGTAGAAGACTCCTCGGACGCTCGAGCGTCCTTTCGCAATGACGGAGGTCGATATGGCCGCCGTTGCGCTTGAGAAGCGCCAGTCGGGACAGAA